TGGACCCATCCTGCTCTGAGCAGTTGTCTGCTCCAGGAAGAGAAAACCACAGCCAAAGCAAGAGAGGAATAAGCATTTGTTTGCAAATATTGCAAGTAAGTGTGCAGGACTGAGCCCCTTTCCCTCCCCATCTGCCCAGCACAGAGTGCGATGGGGCTTCCTCTTTCTCTCATCCCACTGTCTGTTTTGGTCCCTCTTAAATGAGCTTCGTTCCTCCAAAATGTCTTCCTTGCTTCAAACTCTCCTGACTCTTGCAGCCCATTTGCTTTTGGGATCTGAAGCCCAGCACGGACAATGGAGAGTTGGGATTTTCACCCCTATGATTAGCGGGCAGGATTTTCCTCTGCGCTGGGAGAGACACGGCTGGTCTTTAATATTTCCCTCCCTTTCCAAAGCAGAGAGAAAGGCGATTTTTCTTCCCTTTAGATGTGAGCGAAGGCCCCAGCTCCTGCTACTCCTGGAGAATTAAATAGATAAATGGGCGGCGCTGTTGTTCACGCTTCACTATGCACAAAGCCACTTGCATTCAAAATTGGGCTCATGGCAGCGCAGCGACAGCCTCGCACAATAGCGGCATTAGACACGCAGGGCCGGCTCGCGGGCACGGAGGCTGCTCTGCAGCTGGAGCAGCCACCGGCCGCTTGTGATGGGGCTTCTTTATCTGTCTGAAAATGCATCTTTAAAAAGAAAGAAATGTATGGAAAGAAGATGCAGTGTCCTTAAGGACTTGGGAAAATGTCCCTGGCTGAAAGCAGGGGGAAGAGAGGAGAGGATGGGATTTATGGTGTCCATACGCCCCCCATCTTTTATGCCAACTCTTTCTTGCAGGCAGCTCTTCCATTTCCAGAGTGTCGAGGGAAGCAAATAAGGGACCTGTGTCTGCAAAGCCTTCACCTCTTGTCATCTTTGAAAATATTCCCCATCAGGTTTCTGACTTAACGGTGAAGGACTCCTAAGCCAGGAGGGAATGGAAGGAATCCCTCTGCACGCTTTGGGGCTGGTGGCTTGCAGGGAAAGTATTTGGGAAGGAGTTGTGGTGCCAAGGAGGATGAGTGCTTAGTAAATCTCATAGATAACCACAGGTTGGTTCTGCTGGAGCTGTCAGCCTGATTTAAGAGTGGTTTAGGTCTGGGTTTAATAGTCATGGTGGTCATTCTGTTTTAAAAATGACCTGAGTTCTGCTAAACCAATGGGAAATTCAATTTCATTATTAGGTTGGGAAATTCAGTATGAACATCAGCAGCTGTCACCATCAACAGGATGGAGCCAGTCTTGGAAGGGGTTGGCTCTGCCCATGGCTTGTTCTCTGGCACTGGGCAAACCCATTTCCCTCGCCAGCTTCACCATGATCAGTTGTAATGGAGCTAACAAAGCCTGCCCTCCCTGGTAGGGGCATCTAGGAGCCCAGGTACTAGAGGCATGTCCCGATTAAACTCTTGTTCCTTGTACTGTGTTAACTTTGAGGCATTTTAACCTTGTGCCTCCATTGGAAGAGGTCTGAATTTAACAGATCGGGGGCAGAAATATGGAGAAAGGGTTTTGCTTGTGGACTGCCTGGTGTCAGTGGTAGTGAGGATGCTCAGCTCCTGCCCAGCATCCTCTTGTGTCAGAGCCAACCTGGGTACCTGTTTTCCCATAAATAATGTAAAAGCAAAAAGCAGTGTGATTGCAGAACTAGTTGGGCTCCCCAAATACTCTCCTAACACCATGCTTGGCACTGAACCTTTCATGTCTTCTCCTTGTAGCTGCAGTTGATAATAATGTTTGTATTTTAATGATTCTAACAGGCCTGGGATTTGCTCTGACATACCAAGTTAATGTTTTCTTTTTCTATATCAAATCTAGGTCAATCTCCAGCTTAGCGCTAATGCTATACTGAGCAAAAAAGGATTGGCCACTAATGGTTTCAATTTAGTTTTTCACAGAGTAGAGAAAATTTCATTCAATACCTATTTTCATTTTTATTCCTTTGGCCTTTCACAGGGCCCATTAGGATGGAGACAGTGTTTGTGCTTTGATTAGGGGAGGCCCAGCAAAGTCTTTTGCCAGAACGAATCCTCTCTGAATACGGATGAGTTGCCACTCACCTGTGCTGTGTCTGTAAGACATGCCTTTGGAGACTGAATCCTGGGGAGGGTTACGTGGTGGGAGCTCCAAAGCATGGGGTTCTCCTTAGGGAAGAGCCTCGCCTGTGATCCAGCCTCATCCTAGTCGAGGTCCTCCCTGATACAACATGGGGGAAGGAGACATGAAGAGTTAACTCCTCTACATCATGTGTCAGTGTGGCTGTAGACAACTCAATCTGAATCTAGCCTTGGCCAGCATCTCTGAGGTAAAGTTCACCCATGGCTGCAGTGTGGGAGGGCTGCAAGGACCATTCCCCATCTCCTGTGAGCCCATTTTAGTTTGTCTTTCCCTGCCTGGAGCAAGGACTCTGCTGTAGGAGTTTGTTACAGTCAGTTGGGACATATATAAAGAATCTCAGGAGGGACAGCAGAGATTTAGCCCCTCCAGGCAATGCTTTCTAAAGCAGTTGTGCTCCAACCCCTCTCCTCTCCTTACACACAGGGATTTATTTGCAGGCTGAAAACAGCAGCGCAGGTAATCACACGTGTTCGAGTTTTGTTGCTGTTTTACAGGAGGTGCTACAAAAGCTTTTGTCTCTGCAACTGTAAATAAACTCATAAACCTGTTTTAAAAATAGCATTTTGTAGCTCAGTGCATGAATTTTTAATGCATCTTCTGCAAACCAGCTGGTCTTGGCAAGGGTCACAGTGTTTCCTAGGCATTTAACATAAAACTGTGCTTCAAAGCCACATTATAGGGTCGTTGAAAAGTAATATTTTACTTAACATCCTCATAACTGAATTATTTATAACTTCCCATGTTTTATTCATGATAAATATTAATACTAGTGTCTTTAAGAGTAGAGGTTATTGCTGCAGTTTTACCTGTAAGAGGTGATATTATTGAAATAAAGGACTGGCAATGAATTCCGTAGCTGGCAGAGTGAAGCCTGTGCCGGGGCTGCTCTCATTCACACCTCCCTCTCCTTATCAACCCTGTCAGGCACCGAAAAGCCCCAGCGCTGAGCATCTGTACATCTGAAAGGAGTTTTCCTGCAGGCATCTGAATCTCTGCTTTTTTTTTTTTTTTTTTTTTTTCCATTTTCTTTCTTTATTAAGAGGTTTGTGTCCTCCTCATTCATCTTGGATTTATTTCTTGGTGCGAGTCCATATGCTTTGGTTGTAAGATGCTCACCCTGGCCTGGCTCTCCATAGCAGCCTTGAAATGTTCTGCAGGCTCCCTTGAGCTCTTCTGCTGCAGGCACCCCTGGATCCCTCATTTTTTGGAGCATCCCTTGCCACCTTGGAAGGGGAATCACCTAGGGTGGGAGAACCTCCAGCAGCCTTTGAGCTCCTTCCCGCATGGCTGAGTGCTCTGGGCCATGCACAGTCTCATTTCAAGGCTAAATCTGTGTGAACTGGATAATTTGCCATTCCACCATTGGGGTCCATCCCTTACCAGGACATTTGCATTAGCTTTCATCTTGGGAAGATAATATGATTTTGCATGATCCTTTTTGTGCTGGTGTGTTCCCATCTGGCCGGAGCATCACAGAGCCACCTCCTGGTCCTGTTCCTATCAGTGCATCCCGATGTGGGGCTCACTCCCCATCCGACCGTCATGTCTGGAAGACCTTCCCATCCCTATGGCCATGCAGGGCTGGGGCTTTGCTCTGTGTTGCTCCATCAGCTTAACAAACCTGCAGTGAGCGGGTTGAGAGCAGTGGTTGTGGGAGCAGCGCGGGTTAATGCAACACATATTTAATGTATGATTGCTAATGGCCATCTCCCATCTGCCTGAGCCCAACTGGAGTTTGCAGATGAATGATTAAGCTGCCCTGACACATACGCAGCTTGTTCCTTAGCAGAAGTACATTCATTATACTTGATGCATGTAAAAGGGGACGAGGCTTTCTTGCTGGGGAGAGGAGTATTATTGAGCTGGGGTGACAGAGCAGGAGGTTCTCTTGGAGTTTATTTTGTATGATAATGTGAGAGATCTTCCTGTGGATGCAGCACTATAAATGGATCATGAGCTAAATAACCACTGGGATGTTTATTAGCTTTGAATATGTTTATTGCAGAGTCAACAGGCAGCACCTTCCAATTAATTAATAGTAATAATTACTGTATTATTTATGTAGCTTTAACAGCATGCCAGAGTCTTTCTGCACAATGGTTACAGCTGTGGCTATGCTGGAACAGGCTGGTCTGCGTTCATCCTGCACGGGCACGCTGAGGTTTGTCATTAGCTGTCAGGTGGTCCCAACCCCAAAAGCTTTGGTTTGCTGCACTGCTGAGCTCTTGGCAGCTGCTCTTTCTATGGGCTGAAGCCTGTTGCTCCACAGTGTGGAGATGTGACCGTTCCTTCTGCAGTGCTGGGAGGCAGAGTCTGCAGTGAGCTGGAGCACCTGCCAAACTGAGGTGGAAATCAAGGGCTGTAAGTTCTACTGGAGTATCTGGGAGCACTTTTGGTCATGGTATTGAAACAAAATGAGTGTAGGAGTCGGGCTGTGTGCATCAGAAGGATATTTACAGCAGGTAAGACATTGACAGCAATAGAAAGGATAGACATCTCTTTTCTGATGTGAGCTTGAATCCAAAGCCTGCTCAGGCTGTTGAGCATGACCAGTTAGTGCCGATGCAGTGTCTGTCTGTCTCACTGCCCCTGTAGACCTTGCTATGGAGCATGTGGGTCGTGGAGCCCTGTCTCCTGTCCTGACTGAGTTCAGTGTGCAGAGGCAGACACATAGCAAGAACTTGCCACTGGTCTTGTTTCTCCATGCAGGAGGTGAGGCTGCAAACCAGCCTTTTGTTTCTGCATTTCCATGCCATTTGCCAGCTCTGGGAAATCCGGATGTTTCTAGGTCACATGAATTTCTTGATGATGGCTCTCTCTTCACATGTGAATATTTTTGTCTTTTTGTCTTCCAGCAATGTCTGACTTCCACATCCACCCTCAGAACGCAGTGGTGGAGGAAGGCGGTGTAGCAAGATTCCAGTGCCAGATCCACGGCTTGCCAGAGCCGGTCATCCTCTGGCAAAAGAACCGCATGCCGGTCAACACAGACAATGAAAGGTAGGACATGTCCAAGCCATGTACTGCTGTTCTTTCTCCACGTGGAAAAAGATGGCCAGGATTGCTATTGCTCTCACATTTGTGCTAGGACACAGTTAACCTGGACTGAGGCTCTTGGCCAGTGTTTCTGCCATGGAAGACTCTCAGTTAATGTGCGGTTTCTGGGCTTCTGGACAGGCATCATGTAGAAATACTGGATGTCCCAGGAGCAATTGATAAAGGCCATTAGTTGAGTTTGGAGAGGGCAAGGGATTGCATTGACCTTCCCTGTTCAGCCCTACTCCAGGTTTACTTTCCAGCATGAAGAGCCCACCCAGTAGTCCTAGCAGAGCTGGGTAGCTTTGGCATCCATCATCCCTCTGTGGCTTCATTTTGTGCAACGCTTTCCAAGCCATATCCATGACTCAGGGTCTTTCATGTGGGTCCTGAACTCTTGCAAGTGCTGAATTACACCGTGGCCACTAGACTTCCCTTCCTAGGTGGACTCCTTTGTGTGTGGTGGCACGGGAACTCTGCAGAGTCTCTTACAGCATCCTGGGCTGCCGTTTCCCATGTAATCCTCGTATGGAAAAACCCACTGCCCCCCTTCCCCAGCCTAGACCCGGGACGGCACGTCCTCGCTTCCTGTGTTTGACAGGCTGCTCCCTGCGCTTCGGAAACATCTCTCATCACAGTTTGATCCTCTGAGCAGTGGTGGGACCTGGCAGAGGGCAGGTGGCAGGAAACGTGTGCTCCGTGCCGGCGGTCCCAGCTGTGGCTTGGGAGCTGCACAACTGATGGTGGGAGACAATCGGTCGCAACACACTTCGATCACGGATTGATGTGTGTGCATTGGGAATAGGTGAAACCAGGAAGCTGTAAATATTTCCCTGAAAGCCCCTATTCTTAAAAATGTCAGTTCTGCAGCAGAACGTGGTTGGGTTCTTTGGAGGCAGGAGAGAAATGAGGGCTGGAACAATGCCTGACCTTTTCGGTGTTGTGGTGAACTTACAGTAGAAGGACCCAAGAGGCCCAACACTGCCGTGGAAAACTGCAATTGTCAGTTTTGTTTTTCCTCATGTTTTTCATCTGAGCATTTTTTAGCCCAACACAGGGTTGATTTGTCAAACTTGATCTCCTTTGAAGGCTTCTTACTCATACAGGTGCTAATCTGGGGATGCGGTAGAGCAGGGTGACTGGTCCAAGGTGGTATCAGCAGATGTAAGGGGTGCAGAACTGGGCCTGGCACCTTGTGTACATCCCGATGAGATGCTGCAGGACAAGTGAAGTTCCCTTGAATTCCTTCATGCGTTATTGTTCCTTTCCACTTGAGCCCATGGTCACAGGTGTGGAGATGGTCAGAGATGCGAGTGTGACCAGGAAATCTTTCTCCAAGGCTGAGGAGCCTCAAGACTGAAGAGCCAAGACTTTTCTCCAACCCAGAGAGCCCCAAGCTGTGCTCATACCCGTTGCTTCTCCTCCAGGGCAGGGAGCTTGCCCAAGCCCTGGTAGACGTGGACTAGGAGCAGTTTCCCCACGTTCAGTGTCCAGATTTAGCTTTTTGTAGGAGTAAAGTTACTGGGGAAGGTTTTTATTGTCAGCTCAGAAGATTAATCTGTGACACCAGCGGGCCTGGATGATGAGGGTTGCTTCTCTAACTGAATTGGATTTCTGCATTAATCACGCTTGGTGCATTTCTGTGTATAAAGTGTATATAAATTTGTATGCCGAGTCGTGCACTTGAAGGCTTTGAAGGCAGAATAATAGCTTTGGAATTGAATCTTCTAATGCTGTGGGCAGATTGTTAACAAAAATGAAGGCTTCTTGTGGTATAATTCACCCAAAACAATGGGCATTTTAAAGTCCCAGAGAGATTGCAATCAACTTGGGGACGTGTCAAACTGATTGCTGTCACGCTGCCTCCGACACCGAGCTGCGCGTTTGGACCCAGCGCAGGGTTATAGGCACTTAACCGTATGCTGATAGGGAGAGAGCTGTTCTTCATCTTCTAGACGGAAATGGGTTATTAACTCATCACACTGTATTGACTTACTACCAGCCAACTTAAACACATGGTTGCCAAGCAACCTGTAATGTATGTATACATATATGTGTGTGTGCATGTGTGACTTAAATATACCTGTGGTTTAATATAGAACATATTTATTCATATTTATGTACGCACACTCAACATCTGTTTTCAATTCACCTTTCCATGCATTTGAGGTTCTAGGGTTATGGGCATTTGAGTCCTGGGCCAGATTGGACTTGGAGCAACCTGCTCTATTGGCAGGTTCCAGTGGCAGGGAGTTGGAACTGGATGAACTTTAAGGTCCCTTCCAACCCAAACCATTCTAGGGTTCTATGATCCTATGATAAGCATGGGCTGCCAGGATGCAGGGAGCCAGTCTGCCTTACCTGCATGGCTGTGCAGCCTGTTTCCACATCACGTCCTGCTCTGCAAGTTTTTGATTCTGATTTTCTCTTCCCACAGGTACACACTGCTTCCCAAGGGAGTCCTCCAGATCACGGGACTGAGGGCAGAAGACAGTGGGATTTTTCACTGTGTTGCTACCAATATTGCTAATGTGAAGTTCAGCCGGGAGGCCAGGCTCACCGTGTCAGGTTAGTGCCCGTAGATGCTGTTCTGACTCTTTGTCTTCTTTTTGGGCTGTTTTGGACCAGGACAGTTTAAGAGAGTTTCAGACTAACACTTCAGCACTGAGAAGTGTTCCTCTGTCCAGCCATAACACCTTCCTTCTGGATTGTTATTAGTTCCTGCCAGATCAGTCCATATGATAGCAGATAAATCTGTCTCTTTGCTTGTAAATTAGTGCCAGTTTCTGGGTGGAGGGAGGATGGTGAGAAAATGAGCTACAGCAGCTTTACATTAAATAAATTCTTTTTGAAATGTAGAAGATTCATCATTTCCTTATGAGACCTGCCCACTCTGGAAGTAATTGCAGCACACAGGGTGATCAATTATTTATCTAATGGGGGAATTATGTTCTGTAGTGCATTGTGACCAAAGTGGGCTTACCTTTCTTTGGAAGATGAGAAGGAGAAGCCCTGAGCAACCCAGGCTGAATTTTGACTTGGTTCTCCATCCACATCTGAAGTCAGTGGCTGAAACAGGTTTTCTCCTCTGAAAGCTCCAGCTGAAGAAGTATCAGTGCCTTATTGTCTGCTCTTCAAATAAATGGCCCAAACCACATACTTGCTGTTTGGTTTCACTCTGCCAGAGGTAGGATGCGATGGAACTGTAAGGGCAAACCAAAGCAACCCATGTCCATGCTTTGCATGTGCTCAATTTTGGCCTGTTTGTAAAAGCACACAAAATGGCATGTGGAAGTGATGACCTTGGGCATAGAGAAGGAAGGAAGGATGAATACGGGTGCAGATACACTACCACGTTTCCATACCCATTGACCAGCCCATTGACTGTCCTCTATTAACTGTCCTTGTAGGACCCAAGCTGATGTCTTGGAGCCCCTTCGAGCAATAACTCCTCAGCCAGTTTCTGAACCTGATGTTAGATTGTCACCTTCTAGTTAGGCTTTCTGCATTTGTCAGTGGTTTTAATTTAAAACGCTTTTAGCTTCAGAAGTCTCTCTTGATGTTTCAGTAGCTGTTCCTAGTATGAAGGAAGTGGGAAGTATTAAGTCAAATCATACAACCCAACCCAATCAAGCAGCCAGGAGTGAATGACACCTTTGTGCTCTCTCAGAGAAATGCCTTTGGTATGTTCAACCTCCTTGTATGAAAACAGGGTAGCTTGCTTGTCCTGGACTTAATAGCATTTGTGGGTTACCTTCAGAGAAGGTGAGAGTGCCAAAGAAGTAGTCACCAAAGGGTCTTTCTCCCTAAGCTGTGATCCTCCTGTCCATCAGATACACATAATTGCTGGCACCCAGTGGCTGGAGGCTTCCCAGCATACACTCATACCTCACAGCCTGCCTTCACCCTCTGAAACAGCTGCCTGGCCAGTGGTTTGGAGTAGGAGACTTAACACTTGTACCAAGTGTCAGATTAGTCTCTGCCAGCTGTAAAAAAGCAGCATGTGTGAAATAGGGTGAAGCTGAGGAAAGA